GGCGCGGGTTTCGCGCGCCGCCGAGGCTTGGGAGGTTGCGTGGGAATGCGTTGGCCAAACACGCGGAGGCTTGCGTGTCAGCGGAGGGCTTGCGCAGGCGGGTGTGTGTGTGTGTGTGTCTGCTGGCGTGCATCTTTGCAACTTCCTGCGTCGTGCCTTTCGTGACTACGTTTGGGGTTGTTCCATAACTTTGCCGTTTCGGTGCTTAACACGCGCGTTGGACGTCTGTGAACAGGCGTGCTTCGTTCGGGAGAGAAAACGAGACACTTTCTTTTTTTTTCACTATTACTCGCCCTTAAAAGTTACTCGGTGCTCGGTGTGCACATGCGCCCCAGAACTTGCCTGAAAAGCTTCCGATCTAAATGAATTTCACTTTCCTCTACAGTATAATGCATTGGAAAAACAAGACGTAACTTATTTTAAATAGATGTGTGCGTGAAACTGTTTGCGCTCCTGGGCAAATGGTCCGGGTTGTGAGCGTTGCGGGAATGTTAAAGGATGTTTCCTTACAAGGGATCTAGGTTGTAGACGTTTGGTTCACATTACATAGCATTTGTCACAGGTGATGTATTTTTAACAAAAGCTGTAGCAGCTTCAGAAAGGAAATAATGCACACCTATAACATTTTGTATAAGCATGGCATGTAATATAGCCGTCACAGTGTGATATTCTGGGTTTTTATTTATACAGTTTATATCCTGCCTTGCAGAATGCTTCTTTAAAATTAAGATTAGTGGCTAATGTTTGGAGTGTTTGTGTTCAAGGGAAAAAACAGCTGTGAATAGTGGGAAATATCCTGTTACCCCAGAGGAAGAATTCTGTGTGGGCACCTGTATTTTTCTGGGAGTGCCTCTGAACTGTAACAGGTTGTATAAAGGGTGATTCTTTGTGCGCACATGTTTATGTTAAGATGTTAATCCAGATGTACAAATCTTGGGTTATGGGGCAGCTGTTTTGTGTATATATGTAAACTATTGCAAATCTGTGAAGTTTCTGTCCAGGGAAAAACCAGTTCTGCATATTTTGAGTCAGTTTTGGCTGTCCTTGTCTTTGATTGACTAGATGTATGTAATGTGTATACGTGTTATCTCCTTGCCTTTATAAGAGCAGCATTTCAACTAGTCTTTTTTAAATTTTATGGATAGTCTCACTCCCATAATTTGTGAATAAACTAACAAACGAATCTTTAATGGAAGATAGGATACTGAATAAGCATTTGATTCCTTGATGGGTTTGTCAAAACCAGGGGCTTTTGTCTTCTTAATTGTATATTGTTACACATGTTTAATGTCAACATGTAAAATGTGTTGTAACCTTTCGTATGTGTTTGCACAAAATTGTTTTCTTTCTATTGTTTATAAGTAGTAATGCTGTCCAATCAAAATTACCAAACAAATCTAAGGTACATTCTGTGATCTTTTCAGAGTCATTCCATTGTGAAGTTAGTGTTCTTCGGGCCTTGTTGGTGAATGGCAATTCAGCTATTTGCATTCCAAGTTTAATGCTGTAGCCTTAAATCAGAGATGGGGTAGAGAATAACCTGCACTGATCCTGCCCTTTCTCAGTCTATCACCTGGACTTTAGTGCTCAGCAGAGGATTTTATAGTTACAATTTCCATATTGACTAAAAGTATCTTATCAAATATATCCGGTGCTGATGTACTATTTTTCAGGGATCTGTTTCCTGTTTTTAGTGTCCTTTAAATAAAAAGAACATTCCATGTTTTATTTATGTTTGTTTCAGATAAAAATTGTACAGTAGTACTTGGTGCCACCGACCAACATATTTGTTCTTGTTAAATGTTGTTCTAAATTCTTAGTGGGGGAAAATCAATTTATTCCTGTTTTTACCAAAGAAATATATAAACTTTATATCATAATTTTGTATTAATATTCCACTTTGTAAAATTATCTAGCAATAAGACACACTTTTCGAAATTGTGTGAAAAGGGTTTTTTAGATAGGCTTTTAATTTTAGTAAGCATTGTATTTGCCTAACAAATATTTGTCTAAAAGGGGCTGTTAAGTCTGTAGTAGACTTAAGATGTCATTTGTGTAGATGCTCTGAATTCCCTCTTTTTATCTGATTTTTCCATTGAGTTATTTGAAACAGCACTGAGTTAGTTTATCTTTCAAGAGAGGAAAAACTGTAAAGTTTGAGCTTAAAGTTGGTTTTGAGTTATTAGTCTATTATTCAACTGTAGATCTGTTGTTTTTAAATTTTCCATAACCCCAGTGAAATTCCCTGTGTAAACAAGTAAGAACTAATAATATAGCAGACACAACTAAATGTACATGTGGCTCAGAAAAAGAAGTAGTCTGTGTTTTCCTTAAATAGCTTTCAGAGGCCAGTCATTTCAATCAGCATTGTGCCTAGCTCTTGACAAATACAAGTGAAACTGATCTGATTTCAACACTTGTTCCAGTTCACCTCCATCTAATCAGCCAGAGGCAAACAAATAAAACTTACTGTAGTGTGCTTGTGTCAATCATATTTACTTTATAAACCATTGCTGTTTGGAGTGGATGCAGGAAAGGTTTTATTGAAAACATCATTTAGAGAAAAGTAACTGGTCCTTTTGTTGTCCAATAGAAACCTAACTGTCAAATAAATGAAGAGCAATTACTTTATGAAGTCATTAACTATTAACTTGTAAAAGCCCTCTCTGGGGGAACCTTCCCCTACGAGATTGACAATGAAATATTATGTGATTTTTTTCAAAAAAGTAGAGCAACGTAATTGCTGAAAGAAGGCTTTAACTATATGGCCAAAATACATAACAATTTACTTTAATATTTCTATATGGGCTGTTTAATTGTGAGAGACTGTTTTGGTTGATTAGTTTCATTAACTGCAAAAACACTAAAATGATCTCTGACAATGATAGTGGGGCCTTTGTACATACAGGATTTGCTGCTCTCTCAAGTGAACCCTTTTTTGACATACTAAGAATATTCATGTCCAACAGATGCTTTTGAACAATTGGTATTTTTTCATAGCTACAGACATTCAGGCTGTACACTAACTGCATCTCTTACGTTAACTTAATTTTTTTCAGTTCTTTGATTTGATTTTGAAATAAGCATAAGCATTTACTAAATAACCATGACTTATTTGCACAAGTTAAGTTTCAAAATTACTTCTAATGTTCAATATACTCTATTTTCATTTATTTATATTTCAAATTTGTCACTGCCCATCTCACTGTGGGGTGACTCTGTTTTAAAGTTAATGGCACATTGTCACAGTACTGACTCACACTGAGGTGTGGATAGGCTCTTTTATATTCTGGAAGTCAGAGAAAAGTCAGAGATAAGGAATCCTGTTTCTTTGCAGTATGTATATGATAGACCTGTTCGGTTGAGAAATAGAGCTGTTCTTTATATACATTGCCATGACGAGAAAAGGTTCATTGGCCCAGAGTTCATTTTAGGTCTGTATTGGCATCTTATTTATAATTTCTAATGGCTTTTATATGTGAATTATATGTCTAAATTTGCATACCTGGGTGATCTTTTATATTAGATGTGACTAGCAGATTTGCTGTGCTTACCTTGTAGCATAAGTACTGATCATTATCTTTCTATAAAAATTAAATAATGACTTTGAATGGTATCCTTGGTTACTGGAGCAAGAAAAGTGGACACTTTGCAGTCAGTTACTCAACAAAAATGGTATGGAATAGATAGTAATAAGTGTGGCATAAAATGGTTGTCCTTAATCTATGAAATTATTTGAGAGGTTTTAGTCTGTCATTACTTGATTCCTTTTCTAACACATCCTTTTCCAAGTCTGTTTATTATAAAAAATACTCCCCAGAGTCACTTTGTTTGTTGCACCAGTGTTGTATAATGTTCAGTTTTTAAAGTGCAACTAAGTGCTTCTTTGCCAAAATTAGTACTTGTATTTTATAGCAATTCTATAATATTCATTATAACGATTAGAGCAGTTCTTTTTTAATTATGTGCAGAATATTAGTTTCTTTAATGGTTTCTTCATTCAATCTATAGATGACAGTATAAAGACCCAATAGCAGCTAATAAATTATTAGAAAAAATTAGGTAGTAAATCTTCCACAACATCCAATTTGATGAAAAGAAGCCTGATCTGGCACAGGCCCCTTAGATAACTTAGTTTAAACTTTATATAACATCCTTTGTCATATTTAAATCTCTTAAAATACTTCTCTAAATTACTTTAAAAGGGACCCAAGAAGTTGTAGTTAGTCAGCTTAATGTCTGTTTTGTGCAAATTGGTAGCAGTGGTAATAAAAATAAGCACATAGAGGAGCAAGCCTTGATGAAGGACAGTCAGCATGGATTCTGCAGT